TGTTACTTTCTGTAAGTTATAGTAAGAGAAGCTGACTAACCCACAGTCCCTTACAGATCTCATGAACTGCAAGGGAAAGAACCCCAGTCTCAGAGAACTGTTTCGGAATCATAGGTGAGGGCTGCCATCTAGGGGTACCGTGCGTTCATTCCGTGGGATGACAAAGGATTGCTGGTCCTGGGAGGAGGACTGGAGAGCAGCAGACTGGAGGGGAGTCAGAGTGAGGGTGGGAGAAGACAAGCTTGTGCCGGCAGCAGCCACGGGCGATCAAAGCTTACAGAACACTCGGACACATAGCAGACTCTGTCCCAAGAGGAGCAACAGAAATAACAGCTACTCAACAGAAGAGGTGCAGACACTCAACAGCAGTGGTTACGTGAAGTGTAAAGCCAGCTGCAGATGGAAGAGAAGGCCATGGTCTTGATGCCCTTGCCTTTGCTGTTCTGAGTGGGGATGGCAGCACGTTTGTGCACAGCTGGTATTCCTGCTGGCCCTGATCACGCTGGTGGTTACCTCAGCTCTTACAGTAAGGATACAAAATAAGACAGGTGAGGGATAGTATAAAAACAAGACAGACAGCAGTGAAACTTTAAAAATAATACTGATCACTTCTGCCAAAGGTCTGGGGAACCTACTGGCTATTAGAAATACTAGAAAATTGCTAATTTTCTAGTATTAGAAATTAGGGACCATGTTTCAAAGTATAAAGCCTGTGAGGAGCACGTCATATTCAAACGACAACACTGCAAGCTAGCCCCAAAGGCTCACAACCATCCCAGAACGTAAAGTGCGTCCAATTCATTCCCAAGAGTTCCCCATAGTCTTGTTTGTTTGTTTGTTTGTTGATTTTTGAGAAGGCTTCCATTATTTAGCCCTGGCTGGACTAGAATTCACTAAGTAGACTAGGCTAGCCTCAAACTCAGAGATATGCCTTTAATCTTCCTTTAATCCAGAAGGATGCATAGTTGCAACAGTATTAACAATGTGTAAATGTCTAAGCAAAATCTCTTCTAGGACTCAAAGCAAACTCTTAGCTGTGAGCCCTTGTAAAATCCAAAAATAAGCCACATACTTCCAATATACAATGTGTTGTGTGACTTTTCCTTCCTTTTCCCAAAAAAGGCACTGATGACCAAACTAAACCAAAGTAAGGATTTGTGGAGGGCCCGGATTACTTACAAGAGTGTGAGTGCCTCAAGGCAGCTGAGTTACCCCAAAGCCTCTTTCAGCAAGGGTGACAACTCACAAAAAGTAATGTCCCTGAGGTTCCCACAGGACTTTCAGAAAGCTCTGCTGGGCTCTCTTGGCCTCAGCCTCAGTGTTGCTCACTGCATCTATAATAAGAGGAGGAGCTTTGTGAATGAGCTGAGTTTCTTGGGCCTTATGTCACTAGTTTTCTGAGCTTCCCTCCTCCTCATGGAAAGAATGTTTCAATTCCGAGGAAATAGCTACTCAATAAAATGGTAAGCAGTAAAATACCAATTCCAAAAGAAAAAGAGAATAGCAAAGGAGCAAACCAATGCAAGCCCAAAACGTTAAATCTTATACCTCCGTGTACAGCAGGGAGTATCAAGTGTATGTACTCCCAGAAGCTTAGGCACCCTACAGCCTTTCTCATTGCAAGCCCTGTCTGTCAGGATTCTGTACATGTGCAGCCCAGGGTCCTGTGCCTTATGTCTTACATCATCAGCAGGTGCTGGCGACTACCACCGTGTGGCCACGCAATCCCCACCTTAAAAAGCCGGACACTGACCCCCACACTCTCTGTGTTCTCTCTCTGCTCCCTCCATCTTCCTTTCTGTCCAGGCCTGGCTCTCCTTTCTTTCTATGAAAACTCCGGTAGTCGTGGCTGTGGGCCATGACTTTTCTGCCAGTAACCAGCGCCGCCACTAGTGCTGTTTATCATAACACTATCTAGTATAGTAGGCTGCCTGTAGCTTTCCTGAACAAATGTTCCCCATTCCTAACATCTCCAAATTTCTTTTGGTGCTACCAACTACAACTTGGGCTTCACACAGCACCCTCTAGGGCAGGTGCCAGCAACTCTGACCTTGCCATACACTGCCTGGCCTCCTACGGTATCTTCTGAAATTCTGCAAGTCTATATGGCACTTCTACTTTGCCTGTCTGAAAAAAACCAATCATGTAGGTAACACCAAGGTCAGCGACCAGCTTAACCAGTAGGGTCTTCCGCCCCTACAGCAGCCTGAGTGCCTTAACAGTTAACCACAGGAAAATTCATAGGTTGGGAAAGCTAATTCCCAAGATGAACTAAGGCATTTTCCTTATTATCCAAGTACTTGGCTTTTTCTTTTTTGTTTTGTTTTTAAATGCTAAAGATGGGAAACCAAGGCTGTGGGCATACTAAAAAAGTGTTCTGTTTGACGGCAGAGAAATGGTTCATTATTTAAGAGCACTTGCTACTCTTGAAGAGGGCCTGGGTTCAGTTCCCAGGACCAACATGGCAGCTTACAACCATCTGCAACTACAGTTCCAAGGGATCTGACTTCCTCTTCTGGCCTCTTGGGTATCAGGAATATATATGGTACATATACATAAACACAGGCAAAGCATTCATACACATAAAATAAAAACAAATTGGGGGTGGGGATTTAGCTCATTGGTAGAGCGCTTGCCTAGCAAGTGCAAAGCCCTGGGTTCGGTCCTCAGCTCTGGAGGGGGAAAAAATAAAAAATAGAAGAAAAAAATCTTGAAGAAGAAGAGAGGAAGGGAGGGGGAGGAAGAGGGAGGGGGGAGAGAGGGAAAGAGAGAGAAAGGAGGAGAAATGCTCTACCACTGAGCTGCATCCCCAGACCATGGTTTCCTTATCATAGCTCAGATCTCTTTGGTAGCTACACTTTGCTTGGTCTCAAGTTCTTCATATATATTTACTTGTTTCCTGGGCAAACTACAAACTTTTAAACTTCCCACTGTGCTTTCTGCTCAGTTCTCACTGTAAACATAGATGTAAGAGACCAGTAATAGGGGCTGGAGAGATGGCTCAGAGGTTAAGAGCACTGGCTGCTCTTCCAGAGGTCCTGAGTTCAATTCCCAGCAACCACATGGGGGCTCACAACCATCTGTAATGAGATCTGGTGTCCTCTTCTAGCCTGCAAGTCTACGTGTAGACAGAACACTGTATACATAATAAATAAAAACTCTTAAAAAAAAAAAAAAGAGAGAGAGACCAGTAATAAATATATCCCAACCTAAATACCAGGCTGCCTTCAAATCTCTTCCAGTACATTTAGTTGTCTATTATCATTATTAAATTCAGACAGTATAGTCTCAGAACATGGTCAAGATGAGACAGAGCTTTAATGCAATGTAATGTGCATGACCGACCTCTAGTGCAGTTGCAGAGAGTATCCTCAGTTCTGCACGAACTGAACGCATGGTCTTGACTTACACTCCACTGTCTGTATGCTGGCTTTCTGAGCTCTCCCCAGCATCACAGGAAGCTCTGCTTGCAGCACTTGAAGCTGTTTCTACAGACATTACCAGCTCCTCCCACAGACGCACTTCCACTGGCTTAGAAAGCGCATGGCCACAGCAACAACCCACCCTGGCCACCACCTTCTGTGAGACTTCCATCAGCGTGACAAACAGCTGAGAAACAGTGACTTCAAGCACCACAGATTTAATCCTGACCACAATTTCAGAGCTGCCAATTCATAGCTGGCTTGCTTTGTAGCTCTGCTGTGGGCCTCAGGTATAAGGAGAAAGGGAAAACATTAACTGAATGGGATTAACAAGCCCGCTAGGGAAATAGTTACACAGGAATAAGAAACTCTGAACTGAGACAACAGAGAAAACTTCACTGCTGCTGTCTGCTCTTCTAACCTGCCTGTCCTTCCTTTCCCTTTTGTTCTAGAAATGAGCACAGACAGCAAGTTTTGTTTGCGAAAAATTAAACTGACTTGACTAGAAATCTGCCAATTTCACCTTCTGTAAAAAAAAAAAAACTTGTTTAGGGTTGGGGATTTAGCTCAGTGGTAGAGCGCTTGCCTAGCAAGCGCAAGGCCCTGGGTTTGGTCCTCAGCTCTGGGGGGAGGGGGGGGGGCGACGACTTGTGTAGCTCTGGGAAAACTCTCCTTTGGGGCAAGGATGCCAATACCACCCCCAGAATGGTCCCGGAGACAAGATTATGGTAACAGCCATCCCTATCTAAGCTATTAAGGATTTCTGATCGGGGCTGGGCCTCTTTATGCACTAGCTAGAGGCAACAGCTGCACAATAATGAAAGTGCTTCCCTTTATCTCCAAGTGCTGAAAATTTCTTGTTGGGTAAGGGTGAGTGGCCTTAACCAGGTGAGGTAGAACAGCCAAGCAATGGGAGCATATGTGGAGGACTCACTTCCGGCAGCTATGAGGACCAAAGTGACCTAACTTTCTCCACTCCTCAAGTTTTTAGCACCTCCCAAAGTAGCATCATCAGCTGAGGACCAAGCTTTCACCACATAAGCCGACGGGGAGCATTTCTTGGTCAAATCACAGGTCCCAGGAATAGGAGAGAACAAACCCCCAAAAGGTGTCCTCTGACCTCCACCACAGCACATACAAACCCCACTACACAAATATACACATACATATACAGAAATAAATAAACAAAAAATAATTTAAATAGACCACCAGAGATAATACCTTATGACAGAAGACACTTTGTAAGGCTGAGTACTTTCAAAAGGCTACTTCTGGAAAAATAAAAAATGCTTTACTCTCCAGTTAAAGAAAATTATACCCATAATCCACAAACATTAAGAATTTAAAAAATTTTAAGACTATCAATATTCAGACTTATTTTAAAATATATAGTCAGTTATAAAACGCCAACCAATGAGGAACACCAGTTCTTCGCTACATCAGACACAGAGATAATGTTCTCTGCTTTTGAATTCAAACCCTAGTGAAGACTCCAGCTGCACATCTGCTGTTAGATTTCTACGGCACACATCGCAGACAGTAAGAGTATCAAAGTTCTTATTATTCTTATCCTTTTACCTGTACTCCGGCTGTCGGCTTGTGGAATGATCATCTCTTGTCCATCTGTAGCCAGAATCATCCTGTAACATAAAACATTGAATTTGGGCTTTTGTCACCCTATTTTAAACAGCCTCTGAGGTACAACTACAATGTGGGTAAAAACACTTCTCTAGGTATTCCTGAACTTCCAAAACATGATAAACAAAAGATACAAGTCATCTGTCTCAGCAACTAAAGAAGACTATGAACCTGTGGTACCACTTACCTGTAATTTTAAAAATGCATTATTCCCTTGACAGACACACACATACTTAGTGCCACAGATACACATACCAACATGACAACAGATATTTGCTCTCTGAAGTCAAGGGCCTAATCAAGTGTATATTGCTCAGTCTTTTCATTTTCCAAGCTCTCTCACCCATGTTCAGGTTCAAGGTGGTTCAAGGTCAATGAAGAACTTGGTACTCTTTCCATTTTACTCCTTTTCTCTTCTCATTCATCAATCAATAAAGGCATAATTAGAAGCACTCTAGTGAGAATTATCACTGATAAGCAATATTACATTATGTGAATTAATCAAATGAAGCACTTTGGTCCTCTAAAACACATGTGCAAAGAGACATAAAAGCCAACCACATCTGAGGCTGGAGAGATGGCTCAGTGGTTTAGACACTTGCTACTCTTACAGAGGACCTAGGTTTGATTCTCAGCCCCCACAGATGGCTCACAACCATCTGTTATCTGCAATTCCAGGAGACCCAGTGATTTCTTCTTGCCTCTATGAGAACTGACACACGTAGTGCAGGTTTGCATGCAGGCAAAACACAAGTAAAATAAAAATGAAATGTAGGCTTGGCATAGTACACATGCTTTTAATCTCAGCACTCCAGAGGCAGAAGCAGAAGATCTCAAGTTCAAGACCAGCCTGATCTACATAGCAAGTTCCAGGGCAGGCAGGGCTATATAGAGACTCTGCTTCAACAAAACAAAATAAATAAAAAAATAAACACAGCATGCAAATTACTTACAGTAAGAGAAACCGATTTAGCAAAAATCTTATTTTTCATCTTCCTCATTAACATCACAAACTCAACACAATAAAATGTGTCTATATTTTCCCTCTTCATGTTAAAAAATAAGAGAAAATAAAAACTCCACAGCTATAAAAAAATACTGGACCCAGTAAGTAGTTTAAATAAAATCTAGATAAAAATTAGTGCTGCAAAAGTGTAAGGACCACAGGTGTGCTAGTCATTTACTTAAAGAGAAGAAAAAGTGAAGTCTAAGAGCAAGCAAGTGTTTGTATTAATATGGTTTTGTTTTGTGGTGTTGAGGACTGAACAGAAAGAAGACTTGTCAGCATGTAAAGCTAGAACTCCTACCCCTCAACTGACCCAGCACAGACAATCTGGAAGAATGAAATAAGTAACTGTGTTGTGGCTGAAACACTACTACAAGCTTTTAGGGAAAAAATCATGTTCAAGAGGTATCAAATACAAGCCTAGTGAAAACAAAACTCACCAGATGACCAAAATTTTCACGAAAGGGCACAGGATGCTTTTGCTCTGACCAAATCCTTTCTCCCTGAGACTACCTGGAGAACGGGTCTGACAATATAATGCAGTATCTCTAGTATAGAAATAATGCTTACTTCCCAGTACCTAGACCCCTCCTAAAGGAATATCATGGCATAGTAAAAGCCAGCAATGTAAGAAAGCTGTAGCACTGCAAACTCAAGCCATAATCACCAGAAACCACTAAAAAGCCCCATGACCACTTCAGAATTATCAGGGCTCACATGATGAAGGACCACGAGAACTGGACTCCCATATATGCTAACCCTCAGGAAATCACTTACCTCCATTTCTTCAACTGTCAACATGAGCTCACAGTACAGCGTGTAAATACATTCTATTGGCTGTCGTGTTATATATTACAGGGAGGAAAAAAAGGGAAAAGGGTGGCAAACAGTCTAGAAGAGAACTATTGTAAATCTGTAAGTAATAAATTATCAGACCCTTAAATACCTACTTCTAGATTATTTATCAAGAACACACCGATAGTCTTAGTAGCTAACATTTTAAGCATTTACTATCTGAAACAATGACTTGACTGAATTCTAATCTCAAACAGTAAAGACCTTAAAAGCAAACAGAACTTAAGAATGCTAACAAAAAATGAGACAATCAACTTAAACCTGCCTCACCCACCCACGTGTTTATGTTAAAAATAAAGCAATTATAAACAGGGACACGAAGTGACATGTGCCGGCCATCTCTTCATCACTGACTATCAGTAAACCCCTGCAAGGTTAAGGTAAAAAGGCAAACAAGGTACAGGCCAGGCATACAGCTCAGTACAGAATGCTTACCTAGCAGGAGGGAGGCCATGGCCTTGCTGCCCGGCACCACACAAAAAGCAAGCACGGTGGAATGAATGTCTACTCACTAACCAGAATCACCGGACTCTTGATACTAGTGCCCTCTGGAGCTACAGCCGGCGGTCAACAGCACCTCACTGGAATGCAAGCCAAACCTTGAAAACCTAGCACTGCAGCACCCAGGAGGCTGAGACATGAGGCCAGCAAGTTCCAGGCAAGCCTGACCTGTACAGTGAGACCCTACTGCAAAGGGGGGTGGGGAAGGCTGCAAAATAAACCAAGCCAAGCAACACAAGAGCACAAGCAGCACGTGCCCACTCTACTTCCAAGGCCTGCACACAAACTTTGGTTACATGAATTTTAAACTTCAAAGAAAGAACAATTAGTACACGGGGGAAATTACATACTCCTCTGTGAGGTGGGCCACTTCTTCGATCATGAGAATAACTGCGGCCCTCGTCATAGTCTCGGTAATCAACATGACTGTAATATCTACTGTAGCCTCCTTCATCGGGTCTGGCTAGCAGAGGCGGTCTCTTGTCTAGCAGAGGCGGTCTCTTGTCTAGCAGTGGTGGTCTCTTTGGCACAACATTAACTACTCTATGGTAGCCATCCTAAAACAGACAAAAAGAAATATAGAGACATCACTAATTTCTCTATTTGGCTTTGGAAATGTTTCTTATAAGCACAGGAGTTCTTATCCATAATTCAATAGAGTAAATGTACAAATGAACAAAAACACACTAATGAAAAATGTGAATATAAATAATAATAAAATCTTCATATAGATTAATGGAAATAAAATTATTCAATAAAAAAAACTCATTCAAAACTAATTCAAAATTAACACACAACAATACAAAAATGACAACCATAGGTTAAGAAAGGGGGACTGGAGAGAAAGCTCAGGGATTAAGAGCACTTGCTGTTTTTCCAGAGGATATAGGTGCAGTTCCCAGCATCCAGACGGCAGCTCACAACTGTAAAACCAGTTCCGGGGATTATGACAACCTCCTCTGGCCCCTGTGGGTACTTCACTCACATGGTGCACATACATACATACATACATGCAAGCAAAATACTTATACACATAAAATAAAAATATGTCTAAATAATAGTGTAAGTAAAAGAAAAGGTAATTTTAACAACAGCAATAAACTACACACAGTAAGATTACAGCAGTGTTGTTCCTAGTGACAATGAAGACAGCACACTATGTTACAGCAGTGTTACTCACAACAACAACAAAGCACACTATAAATGCTACAGCAATGTTACTCATAACAACAACAAAGACAGCACACTATAAATGCTACAGCAATGTTACTCACAACAACAACAAAGACAGCACACTATAAATGCTACAGCAGTGTTACTCAAACAACAACAAAGACAGCACACTATAAATGCTACTGCAGTGTCATTCCTAATGACAATGAAGACATCACACTGTCTTGTCTGCTGTGTTTAAACTACTCTATTAAGCTATTTAAATGGCTTGTGCCCATAAGACAGCAAGCACTGAACCAGAAAGATCAAAAGGAAACATTCTGCTATTTTTCCAGAAGCTCAGGAGAGCGAGCTTTTGGCTTTTTAGGCATGGACGCAAAGCTGGCTAAAATTAGAAGCAGTTTCCACAGTAATATACTCTTGAAACTTTTACTAACTTGGTTGGGATAGGAGATAGCTCAGTGGTAAAGGGCAATAATGGCTCTCACATGGTAGCTCACAACAGTCTAGAACTCCAGTTCTGGAAAACTGACCCCCTTCTAACCTCCTTAGGCACTGCATGCAAATGTTGCCCAGACTTACTTCATGCAGGCAAAATACCCATACATGTAACAAATAATAACTTAAAAATTTTAGTCACTGAGGAGTTTTGTGGGATTTGAGGGATTAAGACAGAAAACAAAGTCTGTCTTATGTTAATAGCTAATATGAAATGTTGTGGAATGTCGTTCTGTATGCTGTGAATGTGCGTTGCTCTGATTGGTTGATAAATAAAGCTATTTTGCCAATGGTGAGGCAGAATAGGGCTACGCAGGACATTCTAACAAGAGAAGAGGAAGGAGAAAGACAGAACAGAGGAGATGCTACTAGAAGCAAGATGTAAAGGTAGGCCACAAGCCACGTGGCAAAGTATAGATTTATAGAAATGGGTTAATTTAAGACATAAGAACTAGATAACAAGAAGCCTGCCATGGCCAAAGTTTAAAAATAATATAAGCCTCTGTGTGTTTACTTGGGTCTGAGAGGCTGCAAGACCAGGTGGGACACAGGAAAACCTTACAACTACATTTGGCAACAACGTGGGGCTCTTGAATTTCCATAAAGCCTAAAAGAGTTTAAAAAGAGCTCCTAAACACACAATAATGGAGCCAAAAAACAGCTTTCTACTTCATGTCTCATGCAAGCAGGTCAAGATAGAGAGATGCCAAGGTACAGAGGCGCCATGGCATGGTGTGCAGCCTTGAGCTACAGAATGGCAGGTTGTGTGTGGGCTTGAGTGTGCATGGCGAATTCCTGCCACTGTATACAGTGGCATCTACAAACCACATGGCATGGTGCATGGTGGATATAACTTTTGCTAGTACAGGAGGAGGGAGAGGGAAGGAAAGAAAGAAAAGGTTTTTTGGCTACACACTACTGGATGGAGCATAGACCCACTGCTTCCCAGAGTGGGCAGTGAGCATGGTTCCCAGAGGTGGCAGTCAACATAGTTCCACCATGTTGGGAAGCTGAGGTGGGTGGAGCCAGCAGCCAAGGCTGCTGCCTTGGTACTAGTCATATAGTTAGTTTAGCAGTTTAAAATCTCTCCTGGTCAGAGGATTATAGATTCACAATAAGACAGATTCACAATAAAACAGTTTACATTGTGTGTAAAAATATATGTAGGCTTGGAAGAGAGAAGAAAAGGAGTTTATGCAATTGTATAAAAAAATAGTTTCAAAAAATAAAGTCTTTAAAAACACAATAAGAATAATATAAAAGTTAAGCCATATAAAGATGGAAATCACACAGAGTCTGGGTTATATTATCTTTGGGATTTTTAACTGCAGAGAGACATTTGATTGTAAATGATGTTTGTTTGTAAATGATTTGTTTAATGCTGAGTTAAATCAGTATGTGTACTTTAAAGATATCTTCATTTCAAAATTTATGTCTAAGGATACAATGCTTTGGAAAAGAGGTTCTGCTTTTGTTTCCACATAAGAACCTATGGATTGCTTCCAGGCTAATAAGGTTTGATCAAGGAAGATCCCCTGAGAGGTCTCCAGATGATCCAACCTTCAGAACAGCTTCAAGACAACTGGCTCAGAAAATACAGCCTCACACACTACTCCAGTCAGGACCTGACCATAATTCTTAATTTTCTCAGGATCCCCATAAGACTACCAGAGGCCCCTATCAGCAGGAAATAGCTTAGAATACTATGCTCACATTCCCAAAAAAATGGATTATGGATGTTTGTCTTTATTTAGGTTGTTGGCTACAAATTGTTATTGGTCATAGTCAATCTCTAAAAGAAGGGAGATATGATATAGATATGATAGGATAAAAACGTAATTATTGAATCTACTTTTAAAAAGCAGCAACTTGTTTGAAATGTTTTACATTGCTATAGATTTTAGTTTATTACAAATTTAAAGTTAATTTTGTTATACTGTGTGTATATTTCTACTCTTGTTTAAAGTATTTTGTTTGTGCAACTCATTTGAAATTGAAATATATAGTTGAGAAATACAGATTAATAGTCATCTATGATAACCAAACTTATAGTCATGTTAGTTAAGTTTTCTAGATACACATAGATATATTTCAATTACATAGGAAATCTTCAAAAAACTTCAAAGACCTACAGAATATGGCATTTAAAATGTTTAAAAAACTTATACTTTTCTGAACACTGAGACATGTCTGCACCTGGCAGCACCAATCTACTTCAGAGAAGAAAATGGGCATTGAAGAAACTCATTATTGAGTTTGCTTTCTTTGTAGCAAAAGTTAGCCACCGGGCAAAAAAATGTCCTTCCATCAACTGAATGACAGTATGTCATATAAACTGGACATGCAGGACCCATAGGAAGGTGACCACTGAACTTTGCAAGGCAAAATGGTCCTTCAGGTTTCTGCTTCACAGAAGAAACTGCCAGACATTCTACAGGACACAGAAAAAAATGACTGAGAGACGAGGCCTATAGGCTAAAGAAGGATGCCCCAATGTTATAGAGGAACTTTGGGCAACTGTCCAGGCACCTCTGTCTCTGTCATTCTAGATTTTTGGAAGTTACTTACAATGCATTTCCTACATACTTAGGTAATGTTATATTCTTCTGGGGTCATTGATGTAGTTGAAGACTAGTTATAATTATAATTTTCCTTGGTTATGACAAAAGATAAATTATTTAAGAAACTTTAGACTCACAAATATAGGATAGATGATAGAATATTTTCTTCAATTTTGCCAAATACAAATAGACTAAATATTGTAACTGTAATTCTTACAATAAATGTTCTATTATATGTAATTTTACTATGTTAAAATTAAAACCTTCATTTTTAATTAGACAGAAAAGGAGAAATGCTGTGGAATATCGTTCTGTATGCGTGAATGTGTGTTGCTGTGATTGGTTGATAAATAAAATGCTGACTGGTCAGTAGCCAGGCAGAAATATAGGCAGGATAAGCAGACAAGGAAAATCCTGGGAAGAGGAAGGGCTGAGTCAGGAGTCTCCAGCCAGAACAGAGGAGGCAAGATGACAAGGCAGAACTGAGAAAAGGTACCAAGCCATGTGGCTAAACATAGATAAGAATTATGGATTAATTTAAGTATAAGAGCTAGTCAGTAATAAGCCTGAGCTAATGGCCGAGCATTTATAATTAACATAAGTCTCTGTGTGTTTACTTGGGTCTGAGCAGCTACAAGACTGGTGGGACACAGAAAATTCTAACAACTACAATGAAATAAAATTATTAGGGTAAGAAGTAAAGAACTACAGTACACCTGCCATAATCTGATCTAAGCCATCCAAGGAATGGTCACCTACAAATTTTAGTTTTTTGAGGCATGCTCTCACTATACAGTCCAGGATGGCCTCTACTTCACAATATTTCCCATTGTTTTGTTTTGTTGAGTCAAGGTTTCATGCTAGAGCCATGAATGGCCTGGAAGAGCAATCCTGTCTTAGCCTCCTGACTGACAGAATTACAGGTGGCTTAGCATACACACAATAAACAAATTGATTAATTTTTAAAATAAATTTTAATTTTAAAATAAATACTAATTTTAAAAATTAGTTTATCTTTTAAAATCCTAATTTTTAAAACTCTATGAAAGATACTTTGATTATAGAAAAAAAACAACTAGATGGTTGAATAATTTGATACACCAAATCATTTATACATATATTATACTTTCTCCACAAATTTAAATTACATACTTAACTGGACACAAATTAAATGGATTGGGACATTTATTTAAAAGCATTTGAGACTAGGGTGGCATTCAGTTGCAGAGCAGGGATTAGCATTCATAAGGCCCTGGACTAACCACTGTAACAATACAAAACCCACCAATTTTCTAATGTATCATTCAATATATGTGAACTTACTT